TCAGAGTTTTTTCTAAACTGCAACAAAATGTGCACATTCTAAACTCAAGTTAGAAATAGAGATACAGCCTATAAACTTCTCTTTTTGACAAGACCCATACAAACTACACCAACGTTTTGTTCCCAAGGTTTTTTTTTTCTCTAAATAGTAGTGTTTCACATGAAAAAAATTATTAGACTTTTGAGTATTTCTTTGTTAGTTTACTCTCAACACATAAAGGACTTGAGGAGGATTACAAAAATATAGATTATGTAATAAGGGAAAATTAAGAGCTTCAAATTTTGTAGAACATTCTGCACAGTTTAAAGATACACTACACCTTCAGCTCTGAGTCCTAGAAGTCAAAGCTTTTTCTTGTTTTACTCATGACTCTAAATGATCAAGTTTTTAAAAAAGAAATTAAAAGATCATTCACAAAAATATTTTGTGAATATTTTCTACTAATTATGATTTAATATACATTAGCTAATAAAGAAGTTTATTATTTTCCTTACAAATGTACATTAAAAATCCTGTCAGAATTATGATCAACCCTATGAGGTACAATTACATTTACTCCCTGTCTCTCTACATGCATCTCCGGTCTTCTCAGTGTTTACACGTGAATCCTAAAACATTGACAATAGAGCAATCCTCCCTCTAGTGACTTTGGCCAATCACTCTGAATCAAAAGAAATATTACCTATAATGTTAAATTTATTTTTAAATGTATCTGTTCCACAAGACTCTCATTTAAAAATGACGTAGTGATCAAATATGATATTGTTCTGTATTTAAGCTTGTTTAAGAAAGTGTGTATAAGAATGTCTTATTAAATAAGTAAAAGGATTTTGAAATAGAATGTGTATGGTCATGAAACTTAAATGTCTGAAGGAAAAACTACTAAAGTGATTTAATGCAGGACCAATTGTAGAAATTTCAATTAACTATTTATCTTAAAATTTGAGAGACATTATATGCCATCCCTTCTTGTCCTCTGTTGACTTCTCTGCCTCTTACCACCTCTCCCCTAAACCATATTGTGATTATCCATAAAAGCCTAGAATATGCTTTTGTCTTCTTCTGGAGCTACATATTCCCTAGGTAAACAATTAAGTACCAAAGTGTTCCAGGGCATTGACTCCAAAACCAGACTGCCAAGGATGGACTCCAGGTGCTATCACTTATTCTAGTGCTCTCAGGCAAGTTACCTAACTTTCCTGTGCCTCAGTTTCCTTATCTGTAAAACAGAGACAATAGTAGTATCTGTCTCAGAAGTTGACATGAGAATTAAATGAGCTAATAAAGGTAAAGTACTTAAAAACAGTGCTTGGCATACAGTAACTGTTCAATAAATTTTTTAAAACATCATTCTGATAATGATGACTTCAAAGATTAACTTTATACCAATGACACCCAAATTTCTATCTCTGTCTCCATCCTCTAGTTTTCTTAATTTTGTTGAAAAATAAAATGAAATTTGGTCTTATCTTTATATAAAACCATGCTATACCCACCTATAAGACATTTATTTAACACCTAGTGTATGCTAGATACTTTTTTTCCCAGTGTCAGAAATACAGAGGCAAATAATTCTTTGTTCTCTTTTCGGTGAGAAAAACAAGTAAACAAATGGTTACAGTACAAAGTGATAAATATTTGGGTTGAGATATGTATGGGCTATAAAAGTATTGAAGAGATTCATCTCAATCAGATTTTGCTCAAACATTGTGATTTATCTATGGATGTATCTCAAATTACCCCAAAACTTGGCTGCTTAAAACAACAAACATTTATCATCGCGTCTTCCTGTGTTCAGGAATCTGGGCGCAGCTCAGCTGGACACTGTTGGCTCAAGGTGCCTCACAGGCTGCAGTCAAGGTGTGGGCAGGGGCTGCAGTGATCTCAAGGCTGAAGTGAAGGAGGATCTGCCTCCAGGCTCACTCACGTGTTTGTTGGCAAGATTCATTTCCTCACGGGTTGTTGGACTAAGGGTCTCAGTTTCTTACTGGCTGTCAGCTGGAGCCCTTCCTTCTTTGCTGCCATGTGGGCTTCTCCACAGGGCAGCTGACAACATGGTAGCTGGCTTCCCCAAGGGGGATCTGAGAGAACAAGCAAGAAAGGTCCAGCAGGACTGATGTCAGTCTTTTTGCAACTGAATCTCAGAAGTGACATTCCATTGTTTGCCATATCCTATTTGTTAGAAGCAAGTCAAAGGTTCAGCTCACAGTCAGTTGGAGGAAATTACACAAGGGCTTGAATACCAGAAGGTGGGGATCATTAGGGACCATCTTAAAGTCTGCCTACCTCAAATAAGATGAATTATATTTGTCTTTTTTGTTACCACTTATCTCCTTCTCTGCCTTCTCTACTTTCTCCACTCCCTCCCTCTGTGTAGATGCACTCACTGCAAGGTGTTCTCTCCACTTCAGGAAAGTCACAGGACTCCAATAAGTCCAGAGAAAAGCGATAAAAATATTCTATATTCTGAATAGCTTCAAGGTATAATTTGAGTGAGATAGAGATAAATTCAATGATCACAAAGTCATCACAGATAATTATGGGAAATCTGGACACAAATTTCATTAGCAGCTATCAATATCTTGGGAAAACATTACTGGGTTCTGCCACCAATCACTTGTGCCATGCTCAGAGAAAATTCTAGCCTGAACCTCTATGTCAGGAAAGCAGGCACGGCTCAGGAAAGAGAAGACTCTGTTGCCAGCTCTGCTGCATGAATCACCTGGGCAAGCCACTTACCCTTCTTGTGCTTTGGTTTCCTCCTCTGTAAAGTGGCTGTGATGGGTGCCTGCACTGTCCACTGTCACAGGACCCTTGACATGTCCCGTGACAATACATAGGGGGATTTAATACATGTTTTGAAAAATTGCCAAGTGCTGATGAAAGTGAGCCATCGTTATCATTTTCTTCATCATTAGGTCTAAGAACATTTTTTCTTATCAGTGGGAATTACATTTTACAAGCTAAGAAAGCGTCATGGAAAGTCCCATTAGTTTCCGAAGGGCGATTTCCCTCAAATTTTTACAGAATGAGATACTTTCCTAAAAGTTTCATGCTTTAGACCTCCATTTCCTCCTTTCCCCACCCCATGCACATACTTACACTCTCCTCACATTCTCAGTAAACCGGTGGTATGAATCTTTGCATTGCCGTTGGACAAATCTGTGCCCATCAGAAATTGTAAACACAATTAAAGACTGACATTTCTATAGTCGCAATAAAATTAGTTAAAAATAAAAGTAATCTATTATGAACATTTTTAGATACCTTTCAAATTTCACTTGTAAACATTTAAAAATTTTGTTTTGGACGTAATCCAAGGTTGATGAGAATCCTTGCATTATGACTTAAGTTACGAGTCTCAGAACAGACTGATTTAACCCTGTAGTTTGCCTTTCTCTTGAGTTCCACAGCCAGCCAAGTTTATTCCATGTGCTTGTGGTCAGTGAGCCTCTGGAGGTGGTCTTGACTGAAATGTGGGAGAAGTAGTGTCCTGGGAAGAACCTTGAGAATCTGCTACAGTAGTGTTCTCTACACTTTACTGGCCGTGTATCCCATGAGTAAAAGCTATGTGAGCACACTCTCCTATAAGTATAATTTTAAATTTATAAATTATATACACATCAGTCTATATTAATATATTATGCATATTATAAAAGATAAGCAGTCTATAAATAGAAAACAGTGAGATAAAACACAATATTTTAAAAATAAAATTTAACATTACATTTATTAATGGTACACCAAAACTTTTAGCCTCAAATTGTAGAGATTTGTATTGATGTCTAGACAGTTGGTTTATAAATGCCTGGCAAATTAATCTGGCATTCTACTATCACTTGCTAACATTGAAAAGTATGAAAATACACTTAGGACTAGACTCATTGCGTATAACAATTATGTATATCTATATTTCAAACAGTCTTCTTGGAAATTTTTATTTTTATTTTTTTGGCCTACATCTTTGCAGAACTGATTGGGTCGCCAAAATTTCATCTCTTAGTGTGGCTGAAAGGGAGCTCCTTCAAGGAGTGAGAGAAATAGCATTCTGTCATTTTCCTTCTTTTAAAAAATTTATTCTCACATTATAAATATTATCACCAATCCAAGGTTGTTTTCAGGAGCCTTTTAAAGCTAATGATCCACTAGTGAGTGTGAACTTAGTTAAACTAGATGGTATAATCCATAAATCTGTTTAACCAGCCAAAGAAAACAGCCATATGTTGTGATACTCAGAAAACAACACAAGAGCAAAGATGACATCATTATCCCTCAACATAGTAGAGTACAGACTGAAATATTAGCTGAGGGTACCTGTTTACTGCATATTAGTAAAGTGCAACTTCTTTTTTATTTTTAAAGATAGAAATAGATATAAAAAAGAATCTTGATATATATTTTTTTCCACACAGAGGTGTGTACACTTGAGTTTGGAGACCACCGTACCAAATCTCTTTGGGGTTCATCGGAGTCCCCAATGAGGCCTGGGCAGGGTGGGTTGTGCAGAGGGGTGCAGGAGAGCAAGCAGACAGAACTCTGGGCCCCCTACCCATGCTGTAACCAAGGGTGCTGATTTCATTTATATTATATTTTACACCTTGAGCTTCCTGACATTTTTCATTGGGACAAAGGTTTACGCAGCTAAAACATGTTGAAACTTTCCTAGAAGCCCATGGACCACAGTTCGGACAAGCTTTTGAAACTGAACACTGAACAGTAAAGTTACCAAGAATGTCTTTCACTAAAGAGGTAAATATACCAGTTTTTAAAGTTCCCACATTTTATTTTTCTTACATGCAAAATCACAGCCTTAGCTCTAAAAGAGGAAATACTTCTTTATTTAGCCAAACATGCTACAGAAGTTTTGAATGTAATCAAACGCTAAATAAAAGCATTGGCTAAAAAATGCATTATTTATTCATTCTTAATTGAGACAGTTAGAAAAAGTTTTAAATATTTTAGAAACAAATCATATTAAAACGAAGCTTAAAAAAGGATATGGTTCTCGTAATATCTCAGTGAACTTAATCTTGGTTTGTCTAGGGATTTTGGAAATACCATTTAACTCATGCATCTTAAGATAATAGAGAATCAGAGGACTCTGACCTCCAAAATTGAAGAGCACACGGTTAAACTCTGGACCACTGCTACTATAATGGGACTGTAAGGAGAAGAAAAAAATCAAGTCAATTATTACTTTTGTGTATTTTTAAATAACTCTAAATAAAATATAACTGCATTTTAACTATAAACATAATTACTATCTGGAATATTAAAATAAATAAATGAAAATTCTGCTAAGCAACAAATTAAAGGACTTTATACTAAAGTATGAGTCTATGAGTAGGTGTAGTCATGCTCTTCTATCTTCTAGTCTTTTTATTAATCAGCAAACTTGCAGACAGGCCAATGGAGATTATTTTATCTGAAGAATAGAAAGAAAAAAGAATGAAGAAAATTAACAGATCCCCAGAAAAAGCAGTGGAAAAAATAGATGAAGAAATAATGACTGAAACTTCCAAATTTTACAAAAAACACATCCATGAAATTTAACTGCCAGTAGGTTAAATTCTCACCTGGACACATCATCGTCAAAGTGTTGAAAGACAAAGACAAAGAGAAAAATCTCAAAAGTACCATGAGAAAAACAACATATAAGAGAACTCCAATGAGATTAACAACCGACTCGTCATCGGAACAAAGGAGGCCAGAAGGTATTTGGATAACATAATCAAAGTGCTGATGGAAAAAGTTGTCGACCATGAATTCTACGTCACGGAAACAACAACCCTAAGTATAATTGCTCTAAGATTCTATTATTGACTCCTTGTGGGATAAAAGTCAATGTAGCAACTACTCATATGTTAAGTCTTTCCTCAATTTTTGTAATGCCTATATGGGAGATACATTATTGATTCCACTTCCTGTGGGGAAATAAGATTTTATTCTTACTTACTTTTATTGGTATTTAAAGTTCTCTTGTGTTTCTCTTGCTTATGGTCACTTTTTCATTGCAATCATTCATAGGTGCTCCAGAATTATTTCAAATAGTGTGTCTACCATAAACAAAAGCAATTCTTTGATGGTGAAAACTTAATGTTAATGTCAGATGTATTTTCTATGATGTAAATCATTTACTTCATCTTAATTTCCCATGACAATTTACATCAGGCTATATCTAGCCTGATCTTTAAATTGCATGCAAAACCAGACCAAGCTCTGTCTAGATTAAAAGGAAATCTTGCCTGTCTGGAAAGATGTTTTATGATCCTTTTCCTGGCTTATGCCTTGGGTACTGTAACAGAAACTCTATCTCACTGAAATTCTAGAAATAGACACTTCTGTTATTTTTCTGCAGTTATCAGGGTTTTTTTGTGTGCGTATATGAGGAAGATTGGCCCTGAGCTAACATCTATTATCAATCATCCTCTTTTTTTTTTTTTTTAAAGATTTTATTTTTTCCTTTTTCTCCCCAAAGCCCCCCGGTACATAGTTGTATATTCTTCGTTGTGGGTCCTTCTAGTTGTGGTATGTGGGACGCTGCCTCAGCGTGGTTTGATGAGCAGTGCCATGTCCGCGCCCAGGATTCGAACCAACGAAACACTGGGCCACCTGCAGCGGAGCGCGTGAACTTAACCACTCGGCCACGGGGCCAGCCCCTAATCATCCTCTTTTTGCTTGAGGAAGATTGCTGCTGAGCTAACATCTGTGGTGCCAATCTTCCTCTATTTTGTATGTGGGATGCTGCCACAGCATGGCTTGATGAGTGGTGTGTAGGTCCATGACCAGGATCCAAACCTGTGAACCCTGTGCTGCCGAAGTACAGCATGTGAATTTAACCACTATGCCACCAGGTTGGCCCTGATTACCAGTTTTTAAAACGGAAAAAATCACAGTTCACAGCTCCTTCTTCCTCTGTGAGGATCCCTGATTTTTTAAGGATAGTGCAACCAGGTATGAGCAGAACTAGGTATTAAATGCAAACCCACTGTTTTTCTTAGATACATTAAAGCAAAAGGTCTCAAGTTGCCCAAAGAACTCTTGCTAGAGACATTCCAAATAGCCAAAACAATTAACAGCGGCTCCACTGCTTCCATTTACCCCTACAAAAGATAATGGCAGAAAATTGTCAGAGAATTTTAAGATTCCATAAAACAAGAGGTTTATAGCCAAAAGTTGACTTACTTCTAAATTTGAAGAACCAAGCAATCCTATAAACTTTGGAAGAATCACAATGGATGAACTAAAAAGTCCAAGGGATGGTTTTGGTGTTCAATTTTTCTGTTAATTTATTAAAAGATAATTTCTGACAATGACTAGAAAGCTACACTTTGATTTTGGAGGTTTGAGTGTGTGTCCTGTCAGTAAGTGCTCATATGGGTATTGGGAACCCACAGGCACCATTCAGCATTTGGACAACCCTGGCGCTTAGAAAATTTTTCTTTATATTGAAGTGAAATCTGTCCCCTTTCAGTTTTCACTTATTGGTAAAAATAAAAACTTTTTGATTCGTACTGGTAAAAAACTTTTTTGAGCCACACAGAAAACGTCTAATCCTGTTTTCCTACAGTAGCTTTCTACATATTTGAAACCAGTTATTATGGCTTCCAGAGCTTTTCTTTTCTAGTGGAAATGCCTTTAAATATTTTGGCCATTGCTCAAACAATTTGGTTTCAGAGGCCTTTGTCATCCTGATTATTTTCTGCTCAGAACACTCAGGGCTCCAAAATGAACATAATACACCATTATTGTCCAACGAGCATAGAGTAGATCCCATTTGTCTATTTAAACAGCTCAAGAATATAGGAGATTTGGGGGTCAACAACATTCTACTGTTGACATATACAGAGCTTACTGCTAAAAACGATGCCTAAATCTTTTCAAACGCCTCTAAGCCAAGGCTTTATTATTCTATACTTATGGGACTGTAATTTTGGGCCTTCATACTTTTTCCACCATAAAAGTTTATCTTCTAGGATCAGGCCAATTACCCTAGCCTGTTGTGAACTTTGGTCATCCAGTGTATCCAGTGTATATCTAATAAAAATGGCAACCACATTTTTATCCAAGTTGTTGATAAACTAGTCTGCGTGGGACAGGGCCAATGATGCAGCAACATAGTGTGCTACCAAAGACATATCTGGAATTTGCTTTCCATCTTTTAGCAGTCAGCTGAAAAAGGTGATTCAGTCAGTTACAAATCCATCTGTGCATATTTCTTCAGCTTGTAAACAAAGCATAAAAGACCATTTTTAGCGCTTGCTGAAGATGAGATATACAATTTGTATTATATTTCCCTGATTTTGAAATATAGCAATATCACCCTCTTCCACCCCAAATGGTTTGATATTGTGACTGATCCCAAATTGACTCCTAGAGATCACCAGTTTCTATCCTAAGTACTTACAAAACATCATTGGCAGCACTGTGGAGGTTGGAAGAGATTCTATATACCAGGATTATTAAAGATCAGGAAATATACGAAAACTGACTTTCGGAAAGTGGTTTTTATATAGGCATGATTTAAGATTTAAAATAATGGTCAGACTTGACTAGATAATTCAGATAAAATTCTAGCAAGAAAGACTGCGACAGATTTAAAACCTAATTGTCTAACAAGAGATTGAATTCAGAGTTTTAAGCCAATAACCTTATCAAATCTTGGCTAAAGCAAAACAAGGTCGCAAGTCCCTAGGATCTCTATTTGGGAGGCACCTTCAGGAACTATTAACTTCAGGAGAAACTAAACATTCAAGATTTAAGAGAAACAGTAGCTACTTGTGGTCAGTTATTCTAGAACCGTGGAATAACTGAGGAGGAGGACAAGTCAATCATTGCCGAAAACTCCTTTGAAGTTTTCCCTGAAACTTTGACTCATGCTTATTGAGATGAGAGCCATATTTGTATGTCAACCCAAGGAAAAGCCATGCCAGAAGTGTGAGGAAAAGATAAATGTTATTTTTTTCTTTAGAGATGAGGATATTTTCATTAAAAAATAAGACTTTTTAATATTAAGATCAACCTCACCAATAAATCTCTTTTGATCATTAAACTTTTTCTAAAATATATATCAAGAATGTCATAACCAACATGACCTATGTGAAGCTGTTCAATGAATTATATTGCAAATTAAAGAAGTAAGAATATTTTTTATGATTATTATACTTCAAACCTTGGTTGTTAGACTTGATAATCTTGGTTCTTCCTTGGACGTGAGCAGTGTATATGCTCTTGGGTTCTTTAAAATTTCCGCCATATTGAAGTCTATAGCTAAAACAGAAAATAAAATAGTTTCTTAAATTCTGGGGTTTTTTCCTTCATAAAAAGCATGATACCCCTTCTTTCTCCCAGAAATGTACCCTAAACATGGAGAGCGGTAAACATGGTTGAAAGAAGTTTAGGATATTGTTATAGCTTGTCCCAGGCAGAGGAAACAAATATTTCATCTCATTTTTATTTAATAGGGGTTTAGAATTTATAAAATTCATTCATTTGCATTATCTCATGTCATCCTCACAAACCATTCTGTGAGCTAAGTAATATTTTTCACAATTTACAGATGAGGAAACTAAAGTGCAGGAAACTCTATGACTTGCTCTAAGCTATCATTTATTAAGAGCAGAGGGAGACGACAAAAACCTAGGTCTTTTATTTATGAGTTCAGAGTTCTTTCCATGACTCTCTAGTTAAATGCAATAGGAGGCTTGGGCCTCTGCATGTTAGATTCCACCTTTTCCATATACTGACAACAAACCCTGATAATGAAAGACTTGGTAATTTTTTCTTGCAACCAGCGTGAATATGCATGTGGGTACCCAGGAAATCTTGCCATGTCTTAAAAGAAAGGATAACCATATGATTCAATCAGCAATGTCAATCAGCCTAGAAACACAAGTTAGTTATTATGGATATCTTAACACAGATCAGAGAAAACAGGTGATCTCAGAGGTTTGTACTAGATTCTGGCACAATTATTATTACCAGTTACCAGGTAGAGGTTGCGATGTTGACAAACGTAGAAGAGTTGAGGAAAGTCACTTGGACTGACATTTGACATTAGACATTAAAAGATACTAGATATTAGCTTGAAATACTAGAGGCAAGTAGGCATGTATTTATTTAATCTGGCACAGATTAAAGAATTGGTTAGCAAGGAACTTGCATTTTAATTTTTGACTGGAATCAAGGTTAGTTGAAGTTAGAAGAAAGGTAATAAACCATACAATTTCTTTTCTTTAAAACTTTCTCAGAAGCATACAACCCCTTATGGAGGAGAATCTGGCAATATCTACCAAAAATACAGATATAGTTTCTTTTGACTCGCAATCTCTCTTCTGAGAATACATCCTGCGCAATCTCTTACAGTATGAAAGAACACATGTACGAGTTTATTGATTGTGGCATAATCTGTAGAATTTAGAGATTGTAAATAACCCATGTATTTAGCAGCCAAGTACTGGTTGAATAAATTAAGGCACCCCATTTGATGGAATAATATGCAGCTGTAAAAAGAAATGAGGAAGATCCCCATACTGACATGAAGATATCTATAGGTCATATCATCAAGTGATGAAAGCAAGGCACAGAACAGTGAATACAGTACATTATTTAATTGAACGTATACAGTATCTACCTTTAGCGTAAAAGGCAAAGAATAGGAATAGCTTATTTTAGCCTTCATTTGTATAAAGACAGACTGGAAAGATAAATAAGAAACTAATAAAAATATTCTCTTTGGGAGGAATGATTAAAAAAAAATTGCTCTATTTTGAATCATTCTTAAGTACATATTTAGGTGATATTACTTAATTTCTGGTCTGTATGAACAGATATTAATAATAAAAGGACCTTCTACTTCATGTCCACTGTATCCACAATAGAAGCCTTACTTTTCTGGTCACTTGACCTTGGTTGGAGAATTACTGCAAACAGGTCATATATATTAATATCAGGAAAAGATTCTAAGCTGAGAGCAACAGTAATAGACACAAAAAGAGATAAATGAGAAACACAAAGCAAAAAATTTTAGGAGTAAAAGAGTCAAAGAAAAAAACTGCAAAAAATGCTACAGGAAAGAAAACCCCCACCCAGATATGATAAGAGTAATAAGTAGCCTTAAAATCACTATATTTACTAGGGTTTTTTTCTCCTACATTCCTCTAATCCTCTCATTTATTTTAGGTAAAAATATTAATTTTCCCCCAGATAACAATTTTCATATTTCCTCTGTTCTCAGAATCTCTGAAAGCTTGGGAAAATCATCCGGAACACCAAAAATAACTCTATTTGAAAAAAACTGTAAGAAAGTATATCTTAACTGTTCTTACTGAGTCTTCAGAAATTCCACTAGTGATAAAATATCCCAGTCTTACTCTGCCCGCATTAGGAAAATTTCATTTCCATAATTATCCTCTATTTATTTTAGGGATGTTATCTCCCTTAAAAGGGAGACACTTACGCAAGTAAGCATGGTTATCTCTAACCATTTCTGCAGTTTTTATTCTAATAGTCTTTCTGAGCTGCAAATAACTCACATATCTTGGCAAAATTAAAGTTCATGCAGGCCATATATATTAATAAAATTATTGAATAAGCTGTAGAAACAGAAAAAGCATTACTCAGAGATCTACTATAGTATATATCTAACTTAAATTAGAACTACTCTCAGAAAGAGACTTTTATCTAGTACTGAAATGTAAGGAGAAATAAAGGAAAGAGAAAATACAGGTAGTCATTATGCAAAATGTATGTGATCTGAACAAATAAGAAATAAATCATAAATGCAATTTTGTTTCAGTAATATAGAAAAATGATAAAATTATTTCAAAGTATTGCACACCCCTGAGAATTTTCTTACTGTCTTATTGTGTATATTTTCTTATCACGTTTCCCAGATTTTTTCAGATCCTTATACACATAACCTCCCCAAGTCCCTTCAGTCTTACCATCTGCAGGCCCAGTCATTGGTGTGTGTAAATATTAGACTTCAAACAAGTTACATCTGTCTATACCTATATACAGAACCATCCTCCCACATCTCTGTATGCAATTCGTGTTTTAAATTGGCAAGTTGAAGCATTAAAAACTTCCTCACAATGCTGTAAAGTAAAATTAAATTTCTTCTCCTAGTAATGTTAACATAATATATATAATTGGGAATAAGCTCACAGAGAGGTTATAGAGTTCAAGTGCTTATAAATGCACTTTGTTAACTATGAAGTGCTTTGTACATGTAAGGTGTCACTAGCATGCTTGGATTTTACCAACTTGGAACTAAATTCAGTATATCCAAGAACATGAAGAGTTTACATATAATAAAATAGTGATTCATATCACATTTGGTTCCCAAGGAAAATACCATATTATTACTTTATTTTAACATTTTTGGAAGGTTATTTCTTTCTCTTGCTTCTTAGTATGAATTATACCTGTATCATCAAGGACTAAATCATTGTTCATACAAGTTCTAGATGCAAGACACAGTGATTAGTTTTTAAAGTACTTCTACAGTTTTGTATAAAGAGCTAAGTGACAAGTACCTGAAATAAAGAACTCATGTGTTTATGAACCAAATTTCTGTGGAGCCAAACATTACAAATGTATTGTAAAATAGAATAGCTTTTAACCTTGATTTGTTCAAAGGTGGTATTGAAGAAAACTGGACCCATTTTAAGTCTTTCCTGTATAATGGAAAATATTTAAAAAATCAAACATGCACAAAAACAATAAACAGGTTCTGAAGCAAAAATTGGAACATATTGTCTGGAAAATTATTTTTTTCCATCATATGTAAATTTATCTACATAAGAACTTATAAGAAGATATAAAGATTAAGACCAATTTCATTGCAAATGGTAGTATAAACTAAGCTTGTTGAAAATGATAAAATTAAAAGGAATTGAGACTATCTTTATTTTATAACCAAGCCTTGATAGTCTTTTCTGGTGTCATAAAAATTCTTTACATTCTTTGGATTAGTGATTGTATGAAGTTATTATCAATGGGTTGTATGTTGAAACCATGTTCCCACCATTCCATATCTAAAAATGTCCTATACAAAAGAAGGCCAGGGCACTGGTTTTTGTGGCTCCCACCCAGAGGACACATCCCTCGATAGCCTGGCTCTCGTGGCCAGTAGGGTTTGTGTTCATCGGTTCAATGGGAACAGTAGCAAACAAAGAAACAGTTCTTAACTGGCTATTACTCCATGGCTCAGCAGAGGGAACAGACAGAAATGCCCATCTCCCAATATTCCCCTGAGAGAGATATATTTGCATACTTTCAAGGTGCTGTCTGAGAGTCTGGCTTCCAAGCAGCTGGAATCTAGGGGCTGATTGTGATCCTTCCTTTTGGGACACTGACAGGTCTTGGCACACCCTCAACTACTGGGAGCCACTAAGAAAAAAGTAGGCTACTTGGCCAATCACAAAGGTTTGAAAGACAACCAACAGCTAGGGCAGGGTTGATCAATAAGGTTCATCTCCTACATGAGGCCTTTCCTTTAAGACTATGAGAGGTGGCTAATGCATAGAAACCAACACAGAGAGTCAAAGAAAATGAAGAAACAAAAGAATATGCTCCAAATGAAAGAACAAGATAAAGCCTCAGAAAAAGACCTTACTGAAATGGAGGTAAGTGATTTACTTGATAAAGAGTCCAAAACAGCAGTCATTAAGATGCAAATTGAAGTCAGGAGAAAAATGTGTGAACAAAGTGAGAATTTCAACAAATAGAAAATATAAAAAAGTACCAAATAAAAATCACATAGTTGAAGAATACGATAACTGAACTGAAAAATACGCTACAGGAGTTTCAATAGCAGACTAGATGAAGCAGGAGAAAGGATCAGCAAATGTGAAAACAAAGCAGTGGAACTCACCCAATCAGAGCAGCAAAAAGAAAAAAAATAAAAAAGAGTGAAGATAGCTTAAGGGATTTATGTGACAATGTCAAGCAGACCAAAATTCACATTATAGGGGTCCCAGAAGGAGAAGAGAGAGAGAAAGGAGCAGAAAATTTATTTGAAGAAATAATAGCTGAAAACCTCCCTAACCTCAGGAAGGAAACAGATATCCAGATCCAGGAAGCCCAGAGAGTTTCAAATAAGATGACCTCAAAGAGACCCACACCAAGACACATTATAATTAAGTTGTCAAAAAGTAAAGACAAGGGGAGAATCTTAAAAACAGCAAGAGAAAAACAACTTGCATATACAAGGAGACCCCCATAAGACTCAGCAGTTTTTTCAGTAGAAACTTTGCAGGCTAGAA